TATATATATACACATGCATGTATGTGATTTGCCGTGTTGCATTGATTGTTGGCACAAACTTCATCCCTACTCATATGATATTACCCTTGTCAAAGCATTATTTCGTTCTTCCTGCTTTACGTGGTTTCCCGCTTTTCGCTCTTGGTTACCTCTGCCTTCAATACTGCCTTTCTTCCTTCCTTCCTTCCGTCCTTCTGTCCTTCGGTCTTTCCGTCTTCCTGGCTAGATCCATTTCTATCTCTGCGTTCGGTCCTTGCCGGCTCACCTGCTTCCGGCAAAAAAAACTAGAAAAAGCCGGCCTTTACTGGAACAACATTCAGAAATGGCCAATTCTGCTAAGAGGCCTGCTTCTTTCGCAGCAAGGATGCTGGTAAGCAGTGTCGATTCAGCTCACCTGCATATGCATGCCTTGGCTGTGCTGGGAACGAGCGCAGATGTCACACAACACTAATTTGGTTCCGCGGAGAAACCACCCCGGCACAGTCTGCTGAAAGGCACTACAACAACCGCAGGATTGTCCGGAAGTGTCAGGGAACATCCTGACAGCAAACGAACAAACTCGGCAATGAGATCCTGGAACAATGAGTCAGAAAGCTTGCAGAGACGAGTGTCATGAGCAAAACAGGGACCAGAAAGTGGGAGGGGGGGCATGTTCGCGTGAGTTGCGTCTGTGACTGCACCATGTCCTAGACAATGTACACCGGCAGACGGCAGCAGCCTGCGCAGAGTGTTTAGCAGGCTTCAGATGAGGCATGTGCAATGAACCTGCAATCATGAACAATGGTGTTTTCGAACCGCATCTGTTCATTTGCAGAGCATCGAATGCTGCTCGACAAGAGGTGCCTGCCACACCCCCGTCATTGCGATTGTCAATCCCTTGGCTTTTCGTCTCCACCGAGTCTTCACGGCCGAGCCTACCCACCTGCCCAGGCCCAATTTCAGACCCAACCGCTGAAAACGCAGCACAGGTCGGCGGGGGCCGAGAGCTAAGCAAGGCTGTTCCAGAATCAAATACATTCGGCTAATGTATCTGCAATCAAGTGATCAAGCAGCATACATAAGTTAGGCAGGTAAGTGCGTCGCAGAGTGTACTCGTCGCAGCAGTCGCAAGTCGGGCGGTCTGATGCCTGCCACATTTGCGGCTCAACGGTCGTGCAACTTCAAGCATCGAGCATTGCCTTCGCGTGTGCAACATAGCCTAGGCCGAAGAGCCACCTCTGGCGTTTGCTCTCTGTCCGTGGCATGCTATGCGTTACAATCCAGCAACAACAGCTGTGTTAGGTCCGCGGCAGCACGACCAGAAGGGCCATGTGCACACATTACCCAGTAGCTCCAAGCATGTCTGCGTGTATGTAAGCAGGTAGTAAAGGAAGTCGTTGGTGTCTACGGAGATGGTTGGGTCGGTTGGCTAAGGTGGCGATGTTTACGCCGGCATGGTAAAGCCGGATTCCATGCACACCTCCGATTGTGTTTTCTTTTGATTTCTCTTGGAGTGTCCGTCATCATGTACACTTCAGAAAGCATCCGTGAGCAAGCGGGAAGTCAAGCCGTTCTAGCACAGCTTTGTAGCCGCACGTTCGGCAACGTGCTGGCAAGTCTCGGAATCACGCCAGTTTGTTCCACTCAGAATGAGTGCAGGTCCGACAAGGGCATCTTGGGGATCGGGTGCTGAAGCGAAGAGATTCCCACCGACAGAACCTTGAAACATCGGGAAGCAAGGAATGCACGCTGTCAACTCACTTGGCTCGCTGCCAGCATGCAGGCAAACACAACGATGGAGATCAGAGCACTCACCTCGGCAAGCATTGACAAGAGCAACGAGAGATACCTCACACCTCCGAGGGGCGAATTTGCCTGGAAATGCGTTCGTTCTGATTCCCTCTACTGAGGAAACAACCAGCTTCAGTCCTCTACCACGTTAAAGCCCGATCGGTGCCCAGTTCTGACAAGCAAGTCTTCCAAAGGCTTCTCTATGTCCGGCAGCCTGAAAATGTTCTGAGGATTCTGAGGCGAGCACGTACACTGCGTGGCCACCAAGCATCTCCAAACCCATTAGCAACAATACCTGTGAGGTTGCTTTCCGTCTGGTGCAAGAGTGCTACTGTGACATTAAGTCTCCGACCACGGCGAAGGTGGATCTGGTGAGGTTGGACATGTTGAAAAAGTCCCTGCCATGGCGCAGCCCCATGAAAGCACGGAGGACGCTGCTGTTAGCATTCGAGGCTCGAACCGCACGACGAAGAACAGTGAGCGAATGGCAAACAAAGCCAACGCCGACGAACTGTCAGGACGACTCACATAGGGCCACATGCATCTTTGCGTACCAGCATGTCCACCTGAAATTCAGGAAAGCATCTTGCGATGCTTCGGACTTGGCTAGGACAACCTCAATGGTCGAGATGGATGGCAGGAGCTCACGGACAGCCGCATGCAATGCAGCACCCAAGGGCATCAAACACTCAGCAAGTCACATCGAAGTTCAAGGCAAAATTCAGCGAAACGAGACAGATCCTCAGTTCAACGAAAGCTCCAATGTTCTCGACGCTGTGCTTGGACAGGTTTTGCCTAAGCCTCAGCCCTGCACAGCACCACACCGAGTAAAGTCATGCGAACCTGAAGGCGGCGGGCACTTGAAACTCCAAAGCCAAAATTTGTCTTGCGAGACCTTGTATTCCGAGCCTTGCCCTTCACCTCCACAAGCCAAGCCTGGAGACAGAATCTGTAGACAAAGCTCATTTTTTGCCTCTTCCAACCCTGGCCTCGCCCTCTTCGTCATAGAACTCTGCCAGGCGCTCGCCCATGAGGCTTCGCAGGAGCCGCAGCACCTGCGCAAATCTCACACCACCCTTTTCCCTGCAGAGGCCGTATGTTGTTCCGCTTCAAGAAGGGGGCCGCGGCACCATGCACTCCGAAACGCCGTGCGAGATGCTTCCAAGCCTGCAGATTCCTGTACGAACTTTGAAGGTTGTTCTATACGAAGCGAGAGCACAGCTGAAACAGGGTCCTGCGTATACTAGTCCAAAACCCAGCATCCAAGACGAAGCTCGGATGGCAACCGGAGTGATCCAGTGCCCCTGCAGGTATCTGCGGGCATGGAACTGTAGCGGCAGGGGCAGGTGCTCAAACTTGACGGGGCCACGCCACAGACAAAGCCGAGGAAGCGGAATGTCATGGTGCTGATCATCGAAATGTAGAGAGCCTTTTGCGCATGAGCCTGCTCCTGCTTTAGCAGTGCGTTATTCTCGCCTTGCTCATCAGCCGGTGGGGTGTATCCAAGCTACCTGGGCACTCAAGGCTTCGCAAGAATCAGCAAGCCATACGAGACATGTCCAGATGCTGATTGCAGTAACGAGGCTGAACACCAGCTGCATCACAAAGACCTCGAAAGCCCAAGCCCGACGGTACATGGAGCATCAAAACCTTTGACTGGAACTTGCGAGCGCCCAACATGGTCTGCTGAGTAAAGGAGTTCCATGAGATACCTTTGAAGACAGCTTACTTAAACACCATCCGTGGAGAAACAAGACATGCTGCCACTCGACCGCTCTTTTGAGTCACAGTGCCCGGACAACCAGGACACGCCAGCGGTGGCACCAGCACATACCCAAACCTGCACTGCCAGGAATGCGTCAAAGCAATTCTCCTCCAAAATGCTGAATTTTCTGTGACGTGCAAGGAACCCATCCCAAAAATATCTGATTCCCAGGCAAGCATGCGAAACTAGACAAAGATTCATTGCACCACCCACATGCTGACGACATCGCCCATCTCCGTACTCGGGCTTCGTAGTCATTGCACCTTTGGGTTCTCGATCCAACTGAGCCTTTTGATTAGCTTGAAGGCTCAACCTTATCTTTCGGCCAAGAGCAAGCACAGTACTTGAGAAGGACCAACTCCCATGCACGAGCCTAAAAACTGCTGCAAACCCGTGACTGTTGCAAGTCACAGAAACCTACGAGCCTGATGCCTGAAGAAAACATGTTGGGGAAGTGGTCCGTCATCGGAAGCTGAAAAGCTGAACATAGCGCTCGGCGGTACTGCCAGAAAACGCATCCGCTTTGGATATGTTTGCGTGAAAGATCTGACGTGGCCATGCTACTGATTCTGGTCTTGAGTAATTGAATAGAAACGACCAGTGAGCCGGGTTGACTGGTCTGCTACATAATATACACCGACCGAGACGGAATTGCAGGGGTCGGGCATTAAGCCGGTTTGGAAAGAGGAAACGGATCTGCTGCCACCTGCTGTTACAGGCGATCTCCCCCACACACCCCGACCGAGTTCATTTTCGGACGGGGAATGAGACAGGTCCTAAAGTGGTTGGGCAGGTGCCGTTTTTTGGGTGATCTCTATTTGCTGCTCTTGGTTGCTGTATAAACTGGATGCGCTAAGCTATTAGGTAGCTCCCTTTTTGCCGCCCTTCCGACGGCGCTTGACCGCCCCTTTGCTACACAACGGCGGTTGATCACATATCCTAAGCCCGCCCCCTCATCAGACGATGGCGGTTGTCACATCTTAAACCCTCCCAAGAACCCAAAGCTTGAAAACAAAAAAGCAAAAACAAAGAATCAAGACAACGAAACCAGAGCTCAAGACAGAGCAGCGGAAACCAGGGCGCGAAACGAAACAACAGAATGCAAACAAAAGAGTAATCGAAAGCATAAAGTGCGCTCAGCTGAAGGCAGCAAGCAGAAAGCAAAAAGTCAACAATAGCCGACGACGACGACGACGACGACGACGGCAACCACCACCACCACAACAACAACAACAAACACATAAGCTAACGAACAACTCAAGGCACGAAAGGCATAACCGAAAAGGCGGAAAGCAAAATCAATCCGAAAACATAACTGTGATTCCAAAGTCAAATTCCATGATCATATCCTGACATAAAATCCTAGTGCGATAAGGAAAGGAAGCTCAAGTGCTAGCCACGCCTCCACACAGCAGGCCACTGCAACTGCCAGCCATATGAACAGCACACTAGCCTTGGAGTCTGGAGAGGGGAAACGGAATCATCTCCAGAGGCTCATCTCGAGTTCCTGTGGGAGCAACATGCGAGCGCCGCGACTCCGGCATATTCTGGAGCAGCACCGCATCCTCGGAGTATCCAGTTCCACACTGCACTCGATGCTCTTGTTACTTGCGTTCTCATGCTGCAGAGCTGGACCTCTCTTTTGCACGACTCCGCTCTGTCACCCAGGCATCATTGGCTGCGTCGCAATGCTAAGGCCTCGCAATTACAGTGAACTGCCAGCAGCCACAACAGCGCAAGCCCAGTCTCTAAATGCATCTGCGTGGCCATACTCTTTGCGATATGCCCCAGCTTCTGGCTTCCAAGCCATGCATTCGGGCGCGTCGGCGTGGTGCAAGCGTGCCTGAGAACATCCCGCTATGCGCATGTTGCTATTGTGAGCCAGACAAGGCACAAAATAACCACCCACATTGAAGCAGTCTGGCCTTCTCCAACGTCCGCTGCATCAAATACTCGAAACCTCTTCAGCTTGTGCAGAAGAGCTCAGAAGAAAATTCGGTGTTAGTGAAATTGCTGTGCCTAAGGGATTGTGCCTAAGAGGCTCCGTGAGTGATGTCTCTTTTCACGTACCGGGGACTTGGGGAAGAAAAGATCATCATCATCAGAAACCATCTTCAAGCAAGCATCACCAACATGGAAACACCCGATGGTGGAGATGGAACCTGTAATGTCGAAGGACAACACCACCCGCAAAGGCTGGAACAGGAAATTAAGCTCGAGGTTCCTGCCTACCCTGCTGTGAACTTGTCTACGTACTGTCAAAACTACTTGAACTGAACTGCCAATGCTGCTGCAGTCAAGACATCACTGACATGCATAAATCATAGGCTGAAGTTCTTGTCGAAGCGACTGGATTGAGATGCTTTCACACGAAAATCAGATCCATCTCGCTGGTGCAGAACATCGCGACCCTCCCTGTTGTATTTCACATCGTGGATCGTCCTCAGCAGCGGTATCAGTTCGGGCCAATTGGCCAGGTTACCGTGCCAGCAATATTGAGGCAAGGGCAATTTCAGAACAGGCTCCTCTTCCTGGCAAGCTTGTCACGGAAAGTACACATGCTCCGCGCGGCGAGTCAAACAGTGCGTTTAAAAGAAATAATGTCATGTTGCGGAACCAAGCCATAGCTTGCTCGACGTTCGTGAACGGCCGGTACTCTTCTTCAACGGACACGGTCAAGACGCCACAATTGCAATCCCATTCCAGCCAACAAACGCCCCACCCCGAAGGACGGCGAACATGGGTGATCAGCTGCAGCAACACACAAGGACTCCATCCCGAAACGTGCAAATTGGGGTTTACACCCGAAGGGTACGACCACATTTGTAAATCTGATCTTGCCTGAGGTTTGTGGTGTTTCGCCTGCATCGCTTTTCGGGCGAACACCACAGAAAGCTTCGAGCAACCCGCCGGCATTGTACTCCGCCATCCCTACATCTCTACATAAGACTCACGGGAACTTCCAAGATTTTGTTTAAAGCTGGCACCGTCGACAGTCGGACCCCCGCGTAGTTGCCTCGACGAATACATCCAGTAGATCACTGGTGGAAAAACTATGTCAAAGTTGTCGTGGGCCGAGCCTTCTTCCAATGGTTCTGCGTGTGATCATCCCCCTCCCCTGTGGAAGGGCCTGGGTCTTGAGCTTCGGAGTTTAGTCACCTCCTTCTCTGCGGAACAGCTTGGGTCTTGAGCTTCGGAGTGCATTCACAACCTTCATACGTAAACCAATGAGTCCGATGCCCGGTCAACGTTTCAGTCGACCCATCGTTCAGACGTTTTCGAGCCAGCTGTTCGAATTGGGAGAAGCTGTCGGTGGATCATGTCGCAACTGTACGCAGTGACATACTCCCACCTCGACGTTCTCAACTTGCCGCTTGAACTCTTCATCCGGCGGCTTCACCAGAACCTCTCAAAGCCAGCAAACAAGCTACCAAGGGCAGTTGCACCTGCTGAACCTCAACAACTCCCCTCGGCCTCCTCATAGGGCATGAAGCGGTGCGGACCCGGCTGCTTGTATTCTGCCGCCATTTTCCGAGCGCGTTGCCACAAATCTTTGGCGGTAGCATTCTCCTCCGGATGTCAGCGGAAGCAGCACCGATGAATGCGCGATCATGCGCGGATGTCAGCTCATCACCAGTCGCAGCCTAACACACCCATCCAGGAGCACCCGAGAGGTGCCAAGACCACCGCATGAATACCCCAAGACGGTGCAAAATGAGGCCACGAGATGCTTCGGAAGCGCCAAACACTTGGATTTTGTTTGCCGCAGACGCGGCTGGCCCCGTAATACAGAGAAAACGCAATGCGCATAGCGCCGAAGCAGGATTCAACGGGAGCCGCAGAACCACGCACTCTTCACATGCTCAGCAAACGAATTATAAGGAATTCTTTTACTCCACATTAGGAGCCCCACAGTGCTACCACTCTGCATCTGGAGCTCGCCTGGACCAGCTTGCCGAAGAGCACATGAAACCTGAGGCGGCTCTTTGTCGACTCGATGGACTCCCCGAGTAGCAGAAGTCATAGTCCCCTACAACCAAATCTGATGTCTCATTCCCAGCCACCAGAAGTATTCCAGGTTAGGCCGCTCTTTCGCTGGCATCTTCCAGTGACGATGTAGTTTCTCTTGCCAGGCCTCTAGCAGCGGATGCTGTGCCCGGCTGGCCAGGAAGCTGCTCCTTGGAACCCAGGCACTCATGGGTTAAATTTTGATTCGTTGACAAGCTTAGCAATGTGTTTCTTCGAACTGAAAACTCATGCTGTATGGGCTGTACGACTGCCTTCGTACCGGGCACACACCCGCTTGAAAAAGCGACGAGTTGATTTGGAAACAGAGACTGGTGACTGGTGATCGTATACCCTGAATTGCACCTGACAGAAGCTATAAGCCCGACTGTGTTTACGAACGAACCTTCCCCCTTAGCCCCTTAGCCTGCCACGACAGGACCCTACCAGGCCTGGACGCGCCTCGTGCGGAGTTCCTCCCGTACCTCGCCGGCGGCGATACACCTGGACCCGCCTCGTCTGACATTTTCCTTGAGCACGTCCGCTGGACAGACGACACGACACTCACGAACACTTCGCAAACGCCGCTGAACGCTTGCAAACGCATCGGGGACGCGGGTGCAACGATTTTGGTCACGTGTTCTTCCCCCGGACCTCGATCACCCGACACCAAGACTCTGTTGCGCATTCGGGAGAGAACTGAGCATTCAGCGTCGAATAAACCAACTTCCAATCAGAAAGCCCAACCGCAGTCCCGGGCATTGGTCCCACTGATTCTGCGACTCAATCCGTCAGACTTGATGGACAAACGCTTTCCCCCTGTTTCGATTCTCGGCTTGTGACTGAGTATTGAGACTTGCATCATTGTTCAGATGGGATGGCGGTATAGCATGTATGTACCGCTATGGCATCAGGCACTGCATGCTCGCTCATCAATGAAACTTGTGTGCAAAAGCACCTCGGCTTCGGGCGGCTTTCTTGTTCTGAGCTGCTGCTGCCTACGATTGTCTGAATCCAGTTGTCAAGCGGCATGATCGGAATTTCCTCGCCTGCATCGCAGCAAGCAGCCAACGGACTGTTCTGTGAAATACCATTGCACACACAGCGCCTCAGCAACACAATGCTGCAAAGCCCCCGGTCCTTTCTCCGGTCCGAATGCAAAGAAGCCATCTGCAGGAGCCGCAGCAGCGTGGATCCACTCATCAAGCGGTCGTCGACAAAGGACTGTGGCATCAGCCCAGACGCCTGCAAACGAATCTGAGAGAGGCATGCGAGACCTCATAAAACACTCAAGGCATTCATGCAACGTTAAGACCTCCACTCGATTGCTCAAGTTGAAAACTGCGAACGGCCTCCGTAACGGATCAACAAGAAAAGCCGCAGCACATCTGCAGCGGCAGCAGGCGGAATCCAGGAGAGGCCAAGACCAGCCAGGGGATTGTTGGCCTCGCCGGGGGAGAGGGACAGATGAGAGGAGAAAAAACCTGCACTCATAGCACAGCATCAAGCAAGAAGCATGCAAAATTCCGACAGACCTTCGTTCAGCTTGAGAAACTTAGGCACATGGCTTGCCGATTGTGTTGAAAATCGTGTGAAGTTTACTGGCAGTTTGTGGTTCTCACAGATACAGTACTGAAGCCTTCTCTCAACCTTCACCCGATGTCTTCGCATCTTAAGCCTTCTTTTCGGGCGATTTTCCACACATTGCACCCTTACTCTTGAATCTGGAACTGAGCTGACCCTCACCGAAGACGGATCAAGCAACAAGGGTGTCCTCTGTGCGGTCTGCTCCGGTCACTCCCGTTTACTGTCCTTCAAGCTCTGCACCGTCGTTTGAAACATCAATCCAGACAGTCCTCTATGACCCAAACTGCTCTGTCAGCACCGGCTGACGCGGAAAGCTGCCTTGCAAATCTCCGTGAACTGCTTGCAGTAATCACCGAGCACGTCGGGAAGAGACTGCTCATCGAGAGCACGTACTTCCCAACCAGGGTTCCACAGTTCGAACGACTTCCTGAGGTGCAAGGCATTGATTGCAAGACCCTCGGATCTCTTTTTGACAAACAACACAGCAAAGCTCACGATGGAAAAGCTCAAGTGCCAGTGAGTTTTCTACAGCTTCTGGCACAGCCACTCCAACCCGCTCTGTCGTCTGCAGTTCCGGTCCAAGCTCGCAACAACACTGCCAACCTTTTCTCACGCCAAATGTGGACAGGACCCAAAAAAAAGTAAAGTCGGAGCCTTTTCTTCTGCAAGACAGCTCTACGTCTCCTCAACATTACACGCACGGTTGCGCAATCTGTTTTGGGGCGTTAGGACCACCTTTGCAGAACAGTCAGAGACATGCCAGCAAACGCGTGCGTTCAGCAAGCCTCAAGCCACGGAGTGATCAAAAAGCAAGTATGCATTTCCGTGTGTTTGTCTCTAGCTCTCTCTAGGCCTGTGCTCAGAAGCCTGTCAAAAAGTGTGTAGGCCGACGGTCTTCTTCCCAATCCCCGACAACGACGAAAAGTGTGTGCTGGAAGCCGTGCGTCTTGCACATCTTGCAGACGTGAGGTGCCCGCTCCCATCCCTGGAACCAAAGCATCCAAACAATCTTGGGAACTCCATTGCTTGGACTGGCCATCGGATAGCTCAGCTCAAAGTGGCTTCATGAGGTTGCACATTGAGACATTATACATGCGCTTCTACATGCGAAAGTGCCAAACCAGCGACTGCTTAGCAACAACCTTTGTCCTTATCTACTCGGACCTTCTCAGGGTGGCCCTTCGTCATGCTGTTTGATTCTTACTGCTGCATACTGCTGCATCTGCGACAGAGGACTGGCGACAAGCATGCTCTACATGGCGCTGTCATGCCCAGAAGCGTTCAGTCGGCAAGCATGACAAGATTCAGTTTGCCTGGTTCATCACTACAAGCAATGCAAGCACTGCTTCCGACTGTCGGCATCCGAGATGTCGACCATCACCAGAAGGAAGCCAAGAACCAGGCTGGCAAAGCACCTTTGCAGGTTCGGTTCTCATGGCGAGAAACCGATGCAGAAAGGGAATTCCACAGAGGCACTCTCATGAACAGGAACGGCTGCGAGGACACGACCATTCGGCAGATGCCAGTCCCCAAAACATCATCGCAAGACCTAGCATAGAGACTGGAAAATCGCAGTGCTGCGAACATTATGCACCGCAACGGAGCCTTCATGGCTAGAGCGATGATGGACTGCCTGCACCTGGAAACTCTGTGATGAACAGAGCGTTTCATAGTCAAAGTGAACATTTCTGCTCGCCAGCCCAGCAGCAGAATCCGCCCAATGCGGTCCAAACTTTCGTGCAGAATAAAGCCGGGTCAATACCTGATCGGAATGCAGAGTTTGAGCAGCGGACAGTTTTGATTGAAGCTTGAAGCCCGTTGCATCCCGAAGTGCCTCTGATCGTGAGGGGCTCCAGTGTGCCCACCTGCGCACTCGCAGAGAAGCCGGATCCGATGAAAGGGCAGTCACAACACCACTCAAGCAGCAAGTGTCAGGGACACATTCAGCAAACCGAAGCCGAGGAGTTGCCTTTGGGTTGTGATCTCTTGGTCCGACCTCTGAGCACAAGCTCTGCGAGCAACGTTGCGATTCAGCACACAAGCATACACAAGCACAACAACGACGACAAACAGCGGCAGCAGCAGCAAAAGCACGCACAAGTGCAAAACGCCTGCTTTATGACGAGCCGGCACCGACCGTAAGCCACCACTGAGGCTCTCACCGAGCTTTCAACAAAGCTTCCGCTTCGGGCGAAAAGGGGCCCGGGCCCTGGCCCTGGCCCTGGCGTGCCAGGCTCTCCGCAGACTCGGCACTCGGCACTTGGGTGGGGACAAGGACATGCGGCTGCACATGGCTGCACATGGCTGCACATGGCTGCACATGGCTGCGCCTTGCTCAGAGCTCGAAGATCTCCATGTCTGGAAACTCCATGTGGCCTGCTGCGCAACATGAAACACTGAGGCATCAAACGAATTGACTGCCTCTTCCGACTCCAGACTTGACATGATACGACATGTGCGAAACAGATGGGCGATGATAATAGCAACCAGGTTTGCATTCAGCAGCATTAAACCGCAGCGTTCTTTCATACGCAGACCACGAAAGTGCCGAGAGGAACTCCCATGGAGATTGAACATGTCCACTGCCTCTGAGACGCTGCAGCATGCCAGAACGTCAACCTGAGTTTCATTGCAGTCGGACCAACACATACGCGCACGCACACTCAATCACCCAAACATACAACCGAATTGTGAAAACAGACGTGCAATCGGAAATCCAAAAGGCTATCACCAAGAACGACAAGTGAAAATAAGAGGAGTCGCAGGGTGTGAGGTTGCCGACGTCGTGCGCTATGGGGAGAAACTACACAATGCTACTGGCCTGTACCACACACCACGGTGCAGTACCATCTTCTCCTGTGGGCACGCCGTGTACGGGGTTCTTGCTGCAGCAAGAACGCTGTCTGGGACGTCTCAGTCTCCTTGAATCTTGGCTTGGAGCAGATCGGAATGATGCGGAAGCGGCCCGTACGGAAGGTGCAGATCGATCGTGCGCTTCTTAAGCGCTTAGGGGCGCTTGCGGCGCAGTCTTCGGGGCAAGCAATTGCACTCATGACTGGTGGCTTTCCCCGGACGCTGTCTGGAGGCTGGACTCCGTCCGTGGGGGGTCAGAGGTCACTGTTTTTCGTGCCGGGCTGCGGTCTCTCCTCACAGTTGTCATGTCATGTGGCATTGCAGTGCTCAATCGGGGTGGTGAGGCAGAAGAAAACATCGTTGTTCTATGTTGTTCTTTCGGGCCTCGAGATGATGCCTCAAACCCGGGCCCGTAAGGCGGACATCCTTGGAAGGAAAAGTCGGCCGCGCTGGGTGCTGGGGGCGGGGGGTGGTTTGTCTCTGGCTGCCTGGTGCGTTGGCTCCTGCAGGGGAAACAACCTGGTTACAGGTTTTTGAGGCTTCGGCCTCCAGCTAAGAATCAGGTTTTGCTTCTTCCTTCTGAATGCTACCACGTGGTATGGTGCTTCGACAACAATCCCCCCTCCCCCCATGTACGAGAAAGATTTTGCAGCAGGCATGGTTCACAAATGTGTGGTTGTGACAACCGGCCAAGGCAGATATGGGCTATGCCATCCGGGTGCACGAGTTCGCAAGCTGTGCCAAGACTCCGCGCGGCCGCTTCCAGCAGCGACACGAAAGTCGGTAAGCATCCGCGGGGGCTTTTTATACAAACAAATATATACACGTATGCATGTACATATACACATACTTATACATATGTATGTATGTATACATATACATATGTACATATGTACAGATAAACATGTGTGTATTTATATATCTCTATATATATACATATATATATATATATATCAAGCACTCTGCTTCATCCGGAAAATCTGGGAGGTGTGGACGCGCCGGCGAGCCAAACAAACTCGTCACAAAACAAGTTGGGAAAGGCTCGTGGCAGCACTGCGCTTCGCAAGCTACGCTGTGTGCACCACTGTGGCTGTGCTCAAGCACTCTGTTTCATCGCAAGGTTGGGAGGAATCAGAGTTGGCGTGAGACACCAGCATTACTGCCAACAGAGGGCAAGGCGATCCGTCGATGACTCTCCCGTAGGAGGACACCCCTGGCACATGGACACCAACTCTCCCAATCGCCAACTTTGCGCTGGTCACCCGGCAGAGCCACTCGCCAAAAACAAGCCGCGGCAGGGCAGCAACGCGGGCGGGCAAAAGAAGTTGAATCAAGGTGACAGGTGGCCCTTGCATCATCTACACACCTGGATGACCGTACGCCCCAGCCCGAACCTTTGATAAAACGTTGTTGCGCCGCCTTCTAATGCAGTAGGGCACATAGTCAGAAAGAGGCAACCCTATAGCCTTGACGAGGGAGGCGAAATCTCTCCGAAAAACAGCAGGCGAAGATGAATAAAGGTAACCATTCGGGCGTGCCCGGTCAAGCAAACATTGAAGAATTGACATCAGAGCTGGCTCGTGCAAAAAGAAAGATTGTTGCAGGCCTCTCGAAGTCTTGGCATTAAGGATTGCAACCACAACAGTGCCATCCTCCGGGCAGAGGCGAAGGTGAGCCCTAGGGAGGCAAAGCTAGCTCCATTGTACGGAGGAAGAAGGCAAACCCGATAAAAAACCACGGCCGTGGGCTTGTGCGCTAGGGTAAGTGAACCCGATGCCAGCCGATGCCAGCTCCGAAGGAAAAGCCAGGCTGTTTGGTGCGGATGCACCTGGGCAAGAACCGTTTCAACCCATTCAAGATCCGGCCTGCCATGGCAACATTTTCACCTTCCTGGTAAAAGTGGTTCATGTACTTAGCCAGCTCATCATCCAGCTCAACCATATTTTGCGGCAACCTGCCTTGTAGGGAGCACACACATAAGTGAAACATGCCTGCACTCGCCGCTCATATGAACGCCTGATCTTCACAGTGATACCGAGCAACCTGAAGTGGTCACTCCGTTGGCTCAAATCTCCGTGACGCGCCATCAGAAAATTCCATTTGCTGATCGTCCAGAGGGATACCGGTATCACGCCCGCAGCCAGGGCCGTTGCAGTCACCCGTCGGCCTTTGCGGTTCAACCGTTTCGATGAACTCCTTCCCTTCCCAAGACACAGAATGTCACGAAGGAATCCACGAGGCAAAAGAACCTTTTGCCGTGCTGCTGCTGAGCCCTGGAGCACCGCGTCAACTCACAAAGGAACACAGTGAGTTCCAAGACATTGATATGCTGAGGCTGCATCCATTTGTATGAAAGCACGTCCGGCCACATCCTTTCCTCCCATGAACATGCCTCGGTCGTATCCGGCCCATGGGGAAGTTCCCTGACATCCTGTCAATCTCCTCCTCCAATCTCCTCGCTGTATTTCTTGTGCTTGATCTTCTTGATCCATTCGATTTTTTGGAGGAGAGGTCCCCGATCGGGACCGCGTAAGAGGTCATAAGACCGTCCACGCTTGGACTGGCGGGTGCTCGCCGCTGACCGCCAGGAAGGTTGCCTCGCACCACAGCCCGTGGTTGGTCTTCTTTGAGATGGCATCGATCTGCGCGAACACCGACCCTTGGTTGACCTTCGAGGAGTCGTAGATCACGAACTCCACGTAGTCACCCTAAGCTCTGCCACGCCTCCGGGTCCCCTGTGGCAGAAAACGACGGCCCTAGCATGGGTTGCGCATGCGCTCGGCTCGAGCCAAACAAACTCGCCACAAAACAGGTTGAGAAAGGATCGTGCAGCACTGCGCATCGCACGCTACGTTACGTACACCACTGTCGGTAATATACATAGCATATATATATATATATAGATATAGATATAGATATATAGATATAGATATATACATGTACGAATACGTATACGTACATGTGTGTGTATACATCTATGTTTATCCGTGTTCGTATACATCCACATTTACATATACGTAGACACGTACGTATACACATACATAAGCAATCACACACGTATATATATATATATA